AATCATCTCAATTTTTTCTTGTTTTCATTATATTTTTGTTGGAAATTTTAACAGCTTGAAAAATACCAAATCATAATTTTTGAAAAATAGATTTATCCATTCATTTCTTCTGTTTGTTTATTCATACTTATAATAAAAGTTGAACCAAAATTAAAATTCAAACTAAAATCAAATTAGAATTTAAAAATAAAGAGACAAAATGAGTCTCTCTTTATTTATAATCAGCCTCTTCGCAATTCCAGTAGTACACCACATTTGGTTGGTTCTTCAACATATCGTCCCAGTCAAAGTTAACGTCCATTTTCTTCATGAAGCACTTGTTTCCATCAACGACTTGAATTTCGCGGCAGCCTTCTACGCCACGACAATATTTCTTACAACCCTCGGCGGTTGTTACGCCGGGAATGAGATCAACGATCCCATCGGGCATCTTGTATCCTGGATCCTCGTAGAAGCATTCTGAAATAAAACACAAAATTGTGATTTAAAATAATTCTCAATTACTTTAGTTTACCAATATTGTTCATTTGGGTTTCATAAATGCTCTGCGGTGTATCTCTATGAAGTTTTCACAAAGATGACAATAGCTATCCAGTGTATATAAATAGAAAATATGATCTAGGAATCAAAGTAAATTTTAACAGCAATTAACAATGAAACACAATCTGTAACCTACCTTTACCCAAAACGCTGACCAACTGCAGAGCAGCCAACATCGCACAGAACATAGCCAGCTTGAACATCTTCTTGGTCGTCGTTGTAACTATTTCAACTTAATGATGTTTCAAGCAGTTAGACAACAGCTATTTGTAGTTTTCAGTGGGATTCCGACAGTGAAAATATTTACAACGTTTTAACGCGTAGTATTTAACATGTTTACATAGTACCACACACTCATTCATCATACGGTCAAATAAATCTAGAGTGCTTCAACTTTTTAATATTTTTATTTCAGACTGAATGTTTTTTCATTGCTAAATTATTTTATAATAGTTTAACATTCTGCATATTGTTGAATGATTAGACCCTACTTGATCCATACTGCAACAATTAACATTTTATGTCAATAAAATCTCATAGTTTACTCAACCGTGTGTGTGTGTGTGTGTGTGTGTGTGTGGTGTGTGTGTGTATGTGTGTGTGTGAAACCAATAAAACATATTCATATTCGTAAAATGTTAACATTTTAAAAAGGTTACTAAAAATTTAACCCACGAGCTATGTTGTTTGCTTTGTTGCTAAGCACAGATGATATTCAATGTCTGATCGCGACGCTCCCACGTTTTTTTTTTGTAATTATTGGATGATGGTGATGATTGTTTGGCTGGTTGGTTGGTTGATTGGTTGGTTGATTAATTTGTTTATTGGTTATTAATGTAGTTTGTACAAAAGTTTTTTAAATGATTAAAACAAGAATAATTAATAAAAAGAGAGATTTTTTTGTAAATATTTATCGTGAAATTTGTATCCTCATTTAGCGCTGGTTCAAAAGTGAAAAATCAAACATATAATGTGTTCACATCTGACACTCAAAGTTGCTTTACTAGCAGGAGAATAGTATTATATAGATTGTCGTGTTATGTTGTCGCACCCTTCAACTTTTCAGACGAATTTTTGAAACATTAATTATACAGTTAATGTAATTCTAAATAAAAGCCAGAATCTTTGTTTATAAATTCCTATAATTATTGTAACAAATTATTTAATTAATTATTGTAACAAATTAAACAGGGGAAAGCATATACGCTGGCAACATGGCGAAATTTAAAATGACGTGTTTGAAGGTTTATGACTCAGATGTGCAATAGGCAAAGACTTTTTGATTTCGTCTGGATCAAATCGGCTGCATTGATAGAATGAACTTTGGAAATTATCAAATAGTTCGCCCTTCATGTCCGAAAAATGTTGTACATAAAACGATTAATATAAAAGTTTAAAGGTAGTTTAATGTTTTTGACAGCCATTTTAATTATTTGTAATAGCTATCTTTTCGAAACGTTCACTTATGTCATTCAGCTGTTGAGCTGAACTCAAGTCTTACGACTGAACAATTTGTTCAACACCTTCCTTAGATGATGGTGTTTTGTTCGTTAATAGGACATTAGGATTTGTATCTGTTGTCTTGAAGAGATTATAGTTTTGAGACCTATTGGTTTGTGAATCTGACTGATTAAAAATCCAGTCTCTGATGACAGTACCCTCAGGCCAAAGCATGGGGTCACTAATAATTTTTGAATAATCGGTTTTCTTAATAATTATTTTAAATGATTTCGCTAAAATATTTTCAATGTTTTTATTAATTACGGTATAAATTTTAATTGCTGATATGCCATTTTTTTCAGATAATTTAATATCTGAACATCATCTATATCTGGGCTCATTCTTCCAAGATATAAAACAGATTTTTCAACCGGCTTAGGTGCTGCCCTCAGTTCACAAACCTTATTTGCTCCATAAACAACCTTAACATCCTTTTGAAGGACCCCGGAGTACAATGGTCGGGCGGTATTTGCCGGGTTTTTTTTTTTTGCACTCTTAATAAATTTTCTATTGTGGTGCAGCGCAAACTCCGTTTAATTGGGATTTTTTGTGTCTGAGTAAATGTTTTGTACGGTTTTAGTACTTTTAGTTTCAGTGAAGGTATCTGAGTTTGTCATATTTCCGATTTGCTGCAACCAGATTTTTTGTTTATTGCCCTCCACTATGGTGAGTTGTAAAACTATTCGAATTAATTGTTTCATTTAATATACAATAAGATTTTCTTGAAAAACATAGCAATTGTATATATTTTAAAAAGTTAATATATAATTATTATTGAGCCCGACTTAAGGTTAGAAATGTTAGCATAACTTGGCAACTTTCTTAAATAATTACATTTGTTTTTATTTATTTTTCATATAAGAACATTTTTTCTTTTTGAATCTTTCTCAACTATTAGCTAAAAAAACTCACTGCTTTTGGTTGGCCTCGTTGGTGTTATTACCAAAGGTCAGATATGTACATATACATTCTATAACGTATTCAACGCAATGCAATTTGTTAAGATAAAGTTATTTAACGAATAAAATGCATTTTGTGAACTTGTAAATGCTTGTCCCAGTAAGTTCACTCTTGTTGGTGGAAGATGTATCTACGTCAATACAAAAGGAGCATCATGGGATGCAACTTGTTTGATGATAACATTAATTTAAAGAATATCGTT